ATGTGGCTATTGAACTACTTACAAAAAAGAAAATATTCGTTATAGAAAACGTTGCTGTTAATATTTTAATCCGAGAAAATATTAATTGTATAATAGCAGGAGTTCGAAAAAATCTTCTGATGCTATTGAAAAATGGTCCGACTTCAATCATGTACACAAAAATTTGACAAGCTCGCCATACGCTATGAAGTTACTAAAGAGTTTAATACAGTATTTTTCCAGTAATTTTTTATTCTTAAAGTTTTTCGATTGCCGTCAAACAAAACAAGGGTAGTGCAATCAAAGTTAAGAACGCATTAATAGTAGTAGTTCCTTATGTATATAGTAACCATCAGCTGTGTGATAGGTGGTGCATGGTTTTGAAATTGGAAAGTGATTTTACATATCGCAATTGACCAAATGAACAATTGCTGAAGGATCCTAAGCTGCGGGTTAAGCTGATACAAATATTCGCTCATTTTGCTACAAATGCAAATCAAATTACTGACTGTGGTTTAACTCAGGTAAATGAATCTTTGAACAATATTACTACATAAAAAAATTCCAAAAATAGACATTATGGAGCATCAAAATCTCTAAATTTTAACACTTTAAAAAAGATAGCACAACTAGGCATTACTCCTAGAAGTATAGAAAAATCAAGGATAAAATTTACCAAGTAAAAGCTGAACGTAATGTAACAATTACAAATAAAAAATAAAGAAGTTAATTAAAAATATTACACTCTTCACAAAATGTAGCTTCTAAACGAACAGAAGACATCACAGATGAATGTGGAGATGGTTTTAATGATGTTTCAGAATTGATTAAAAACCAAATTTCTTCTATCAAAGATAGGAATTTCAATGATTCATGTAAAGTTCTTGTATATGATCTGAAAACATCTGATTTTTCAAACTCTGATGATATCCTTCAAGTAAAAATATAAACGTAATTATTACTTTCAAAGTACTTTATCATTGCAACTATTAATTTTTTTATAGATCGCTTTTACGTGTGGTAATGGATTAACATTCAACGTCTACATTATTCCATCGAAACCGATGTTAAAAGAAGCATCAAAAGTAACAGATCTTCAAGTAATTGGTGGGGACTTATATGTAAACGAAACTAAGATTCATACGAGGGTCGTTTGAAAAGTCCGTGCAAAGTCAGAGAGACGGCGCTACTAGTGCGTATCAAGGTTATTTTTAGTTAGTGGCATATCTTGGAAGAGCACACACTAAGTTTCAGCCAGATCGGCCAATTACTTTGCGTTTTACATTCGTTTCAATCAAAGAAATCGAGTGGTTGTAAAAAAATGGACGAAAAAGAATTTCGTGTATTGATTAAACATTACTTTTTCAAAGGCAAAACGCCTCAGGAGATTAAACAGAAGCTTGATCAACATTATGGTGATTGTGCACCTTCGATTAGAATGGTTTATTAGTGATTTCAAAATTTTCGGAATGGCCATATGAGCACAAAAGACGCTGAACGTTCTGGACGCCCTATTGAGGTTACCACTTCAGAAATCACTGATAAAATCCATGATATCGTGATGGCTGACAGAAGAGTGAAGGTGCGTGAGATTGCTAGTACTGTAGGCTTCTCGAGCGAACGGGTATATAATATTTTGCACCAACATTTGGACATGAAAAAGCTATCCGCTAGATGGGTGTCGCGATTGCTCACGATTGACCAAAAACGAGATCGTATGAAGTGTTGCAAGAATGGTTTGCAGCTGTTCCAGCAAAATTCGCAAGACTTTAAGCGTCGTTTCATCACTGTAGATGAAACATAGATACATCACTACACTCCTGAGACCAAAGAATAGTCTAAACAATGGGTTACCAAGGGGGAATTTGCTCCGCAAAAGGCGAAGACAATTCCTTCGGCCAGGAAGGTTATGGCGACTGTCTTTTGGGATTCGCAAAGAATAATCTTCATCGACTATCTGGAAAAGGGTAAAACCATTACAGGCGAATATTATTCACCGTTATTGGATCGTTTGAAAACCGAGTTGCTAGAGAAACGTCCACGATTGGCCTACAAAAAAGTCCTCTTCCACCACGACAATGCGCCAGCTCACACCTCAGCAGTTATGGCCGCAAAACTGATGGAGATAAGGTTCCAACTCGTTTCACATCCCCCCTATTCTCCAGACTTGGCTCCGTCGGACTACTATTTGTTCCCTAATATGAAAAAATGGCTGTCGGGGAAAAGATTTTATTCAAACGAGGTGATTGCAGAAACGAATGCCTATTTTACAGACTTGGACAAATCCTATTATTTGGAAGGGATTAACAAACTAGAGCAGCGTTGAATGAAGTGTATAAGCCTAAAAGAAGACTATGTTGAAAAATAAAAAAGATTTATTAAAAAAAATCAAGCAGTTTTTATTTTTGCACGAACTTTTCAAACGACCCTCGTACAGTGTCAGCTACAATTAGAGCGCTATAATTTATTGATTATTTGAGAAAAATGGATTGCCTAATCATTCTACTAGCCTATAACGGCCATAAGTATGTAATTATTAGTGATTTTTATTTATTGAAAACTTTAGTAATAACTTAATTTGTACACAGTTTTGATACAATAAGATTAATAAAATTAAGGATAACTGTTTGGTTAGAGTAAGAATTTACTACTATCGTCAAAGGATTCGTTGATTCTTTTCATTTAGTTCAAGAAATGCTTCTAGATAGAGTAAAAAATAAAGAAAAATTTTTCGATATTGACTCTAGTCAGTAATTATATACCAAAAATGAATATCAACTCTCTTCACAACGCCGTTGACGATGTAGATGTTTTATATAAATTGATTGAGAAGATTGGTATCTTGAATAATTATATTATTGAAAAATCAAAAAATTTAACAATGATTCACAAAGGACAGAGAAAGAAAAATAAAACAAAATGAAATAAAGCTTCTCTCATGGAATAGAAAGAGAACATATTCAGTACTATGATGAATAAAATAGCCGAATGCGGCATTATCAAGCAAGTTTTGCAGCTTGCTTTAATAAAAGGTGAATGTTTGTTAGGAAGAAACATAAAGGGCAAACTATGAATCACGAAAAATAAAAAAGACAAAATTTCTGCTACGTAGTATTTAAAGTTCAAAATACTTGTTTTTTAAATATCACGTATTCATATTACAAAATTATATTCTTTAGTGTAATTGTAACATTTCGTAATATTACTATTGGTCATAATTTTATTATTAGTATTAATAAAAGCTTTTTTTTATGATCTGAAAGACCGGAAGTTAGGTGATAATATGATTATTTATAAAAACTTGAGTATTTGTTTGAAAAACGTAATATTATAACAACATTTTCGAAAATAATAAGTATTACTTATAGGAATTTAAAGTAATGTTGAAAACTGTAATTTACAAGTGTAATATAATGTTGAATGACATTATATACGTATTAATGTATATAAATTTTATTTCCATTATTTTCTTATTTTTACAGTTCATATCTATACGTAATCATTTTTTATTAAAATTTAGTCATTTAAAAAAATTATAATATATAGTAAAATTATATACCGAATATCAAAACGATTATAAGAAATCTTGTTCTAGAAATATTCAAATTTCGGGCTATTTTCCGTTGTCGGTGGCATAGCCACAGTAACCTATTCGCTACCATACGCTAATCCTCATGATTAAATGAGCCGCTTATTTTGAAAGTGGTCTAACTCCATTTATCTTCAAATCGAGATATTAAAAGTTTAAGCCATTTTCAAACTACACGGCTCAGTTATTCAATTAATTCGGAAAACTTATGTGTAAAAAATGTATTATTTTCTCTGAATATAAGCAATCTGAAGTGCGTCACTGATAAATAACATGAAGTTGTACATGTAATCATTGTAAGCGGCAGAAAATTGAAAAACGGAGTTAGGTCACTTTCAAAATAAACGGCTCAAATATCTTTTTAGGATAATCGGTAACCGATATATATTAATAAATCATTAAAAAGCTTGGAATTTCGTCTTATATTTAAGTTTATATTTATATTTATCTTATAAGTTATAGTTTTTGACTAAGATTTTTGATGTTTGTGAAAAGAAAGACTATTATTTCCGGTAAAAAATAGACGTTTTCTGATAATATCTGTGTTAAAAGCCTGCTTTTCAAAAGACTATTTCTCTCATATGATAGGCAACAGGGTATGACATTTTTTTAGTGTCCAATTTATGTTTATTAATAGTCTGCCAGAGTTTTATTAAATTCTATGAAAATTTATTTCGTATGTGAAACTCTTTAAGTTACCTCTAACAAAACCAAACCGTGACGCTATTTTCTAGAATGAGAACTTAAAATCTTCCAATTTTTGATTTTGGATATTATTACGAATTTAGACATAATAGTTGTTATTATTAAAATATTTCGTCCAATTACTTTGTCTTTGTGACATTTATCAGTAATTTCGGATATGCTTGGTTACAAGCAATCATATTCCAATTGTGAGAAAATGATACTCATTGAAGTATCATTTGATTTATAGATATCTTATGGAATAGTACTTTCAATTACAGTACAAAATTGTAAAAGTAAATTTTACAAGTACTACTAAGACTTTTGCAATTTTATACTATAGAAATTTATAATTTAAAAAAAATTCCAGAGTACATTAATAACAACAAATAATAAGTTCTGTATTTCAACATATTTAATAGTTTGTGGATTATTCAATATCCCACTCTTATCATCTATGACGAACTCTTGTCACCTGACATGAAATAGATTTTCATATGAATTTTCCATAAGAAACGTCAAGAAAAATATCTAATACAGATACAGAACTAAGAATAAATGCAACAATCAAATATTAATTTGGAAAGAAACACTTTGCAACTAAGATACCGTCATCTCAATTAATGAGTAACTTTTCAAATAGTTTTGAAAATTGTTGACATTATTATTAAGAAATATCAAATAAAAATAAAGCGAACACGACAGACCGAGTGCATATCATAAGATTAATAATATTTGAGTTGTTTACCTTGGTTATCGGTCCCGCCGATGACAATGGATTACGCTGCAAAGTCGAAGTTGGACTTGACTTCGATCTAAACGCTGTCATGGATTGACTTACACCGTCCGCCAGTATGAATTTTTCCCTCAATTCAATATTTGTTCTTCCCTTGGCTGATAGTTTGTATAAATGTAAATAAAAGAAAATCACAAAAATGTCAAAACATTAAAATAAATAAAATATTATTTTGTAAGTTATTATTAGTTATTTACGTTTATTTAATGTATTCAGCCTATGTACTAGTTATTTACGCATCTAGAGAGAGCCTCAGTGGATTACGTCAAGGCGCGTTGGTGATAGGTGGATACTACGCGGCCTCGGCATCATCTACCCCCACTTATCAACGCGCCAAGACGTATCCGAGGCTCTCTCTTGATACATAAAAAATTTTTCAGTTTTGGACCCCGTAGCGCCTGATTTTCGAGACACAGTGGGATTAAAATTAAAAAATTAGTAATTTTTTTAGAACATTTATTGTGATATTATTTAAATAAGATTAATATACTCTCGCCATAGTACATTACGATACAAGTACGGGAAAGTAGATTCTAGTCTCGTGTAGCGTTTACGCCCGAGCAAAGCGAGGGTGGAATGATACACGACACGAGAAATTCTCTTCCGAACATGTGCCGTACCGTATTTTTTGATACGACGTGTGGAAAGTGCGATTTTCATCGCACGTTTTCTGTGGAGCGTGAGGAAAAAACGCATTTTCCGCACGGAGTGTCGAAAAGTATCTACAGGCCATCATATGCCTAATAGTATCGTCGAGGAGCCTGCGGCTCCTTGGTCATATGATGGTAGTATGGTCCAGGAACCGTAGGCTCCTCGACTATATTCATGATTATGGTCGAGGAACCGTAAGCTCCTCGACTATACTCATGATTATGGCTGAGGAGCGTAGGCAAGTGGAAGGGGAATCATGATTATGGTCGAGGAGAGACGCGCAGAGTATACTCAGCGCTCGTACCTACTGAGTATACTCTGCGCGTAATCAGGCGCATACGGGGTCCTAAACTGAAAAAGTAACTTATATACATCTTTAGGCTTTTACAAATGTTACAGGAGGAATCCTTGTATTTTTTGTAAGATTATATGAATCAATAAATCAATTAATCAAATTAATTAATTACGTAAGGATATAGCAAGAGTGAATAATAGTAATTTTAATCTAAATGGAATTTAAACAACTAAAAATACTATCATTTAATGATAAAATCATTTGAATACGAAAAAGGAACTTGCGTTCTTGTATACGATTTTGCAATAGATACAAAAACGTGATAAAGAGTGTCCACACGGGATCTGTGCCTCTCCTCAACCCCGGGTCCGAGTTTTTGTATGCACACACCATCTTTTCTATCTACAATTTCGAGTTCAGTGGTGAGTTTAATATTGAATGCAAAAAACGCATCTATGATTTTTTTTTAAGTTTATTTGCTTATAAAAACTTACAGTATAGTACAAGATTGAGGCGAAAATAAAATTTACAAAAAAAATCTTAAAATAACGGAGGTCTGCAAACGTATGGCCCCAACGGGCACTCGCACCTGAGCAATAGCGTGATTTGAGAAAAACAGACTTTGGGGTGTTTAAAAGCGAGTGACTGATTCATCGTAATCGCTAGAGGTATCAGTACATACAGCACCGGGAAAAAAGGGGAAGGGGCGTATAAGTGAAAAAAACCTGTACCTTATTAAGATAACTTAAGACTAAAGACTTATGGCTAGATAAAATAATAAATATAATCAGCCGCTTGCTACTTTACATATAGTATAAATGAAATAAATTAAGATTGCAGCGTGTGTAGTCTAACGGAAATATCGGTACATTGTTGATTATGATTTTTTTTTGTGTTTGGCACATTTTCTAATTTCCTCTAGATACTTGGCATCTTTAGTTAGCCTCCAATATTTTTTAAAATTGAGCCTATGCGTATCGTTATAATCAGTATCCGGGATAGAAGTAGAATAACGGATCTCAGCTTTATTATCAGGATCGAGAGAGATTGACTTATTGGCAGAGTTGCGCTTAATGTGATATATAACTGATACGTTACACGCATCTTGGATATAGCCTTTATTGTCGGAATACATGAATTGTTGTGGAGGGAAATAGCCAGAGGTGGCTGTGGCTTTACAGTCAATTTGATCTAGGGAAGAGAGCTTCCTAATAATTTTATTTTTTACGTTGGGTAAATTGGAAAAATAATCCTTGCATAGCTTGACGATGAAGTTATCGATTCGGGGGATTGCGGCTTTATTATAGAGGTCTTTGTTACTTATGAATTCTTTACTATCTTCTTTCCTATAACAGTTGAGCGCCGCTCGGAGGCAGTAACGTTTGAATTTGTAAAGTTTGTCAACAAGACAGGCTCCGAGATTTCACCAAATAGAGCATGCATAGGTTAATATGGAACGGATGAGTAGTTAGTAGCAGATGAATTTAGCACGAGGCGTGAGCGCTCTATTGTAGAAGAGACGACTATATCCTTTAAATGATTTTTTGGCTTTTTGTAATTGGGTATTGATGTGATTATTCATTCTAAGCAGATAGTCTAGGCGAACACCAAGATATTTGACTATTTTTTTATGTTTGATAGGGTGAGATTTGTTATTGTTGTGGAAATAAATTTGAAATTTATTTATTTTATCTCTAATGGAGGGAGTGATGAACCTTAACGGACGGTGGAATAGGATAGTTTCACATTTGCCATAGTTAACTCGAAGATTGTACAAGTTGTAGTAATTATTAGTTTTATTGAAAAGTTCTTCGATTTTTTTTTAACTATGAGTAGATCTTTATCAGCTACTAGTATGACATAGTCATCGGCAAAAGCTGCAGGGTAGGTATTATTACCGGAGTTAAGGTCCAAGAGATTGGAGATTTTATGGGTGAATATATTAAAAAGCTCAGGTGAATTAACAGTTCCTTGCATTAAACCTTCTGCAATGATAAACATAAGGGAGAAGATTTCTTCACCATTCCAGGTGAGGAAGTAGCGGTTGGTAGTCATGCTCCAAATTAGTCGTATAAAATCAAATGGATCTTTGAGAAGGGATAAAGTATGAAGTAGGCCGTGGATCCAGACAGAATTGAAAGCATTTTCGAGATCGACTAAACACGCGCCAATTACTTCACCTTGGTGGAGGTGGCTATTGATATTAGATACAAGTTTGTGGACTGCATGGAATGTTGATGACAGAAGCCGAATTGATTATCAGGAATGATATTGTTTATGGTTGTGAAATTGAGAAGATAGGTGTTGAATAGGCATTCAAAGGCTTTACTAATAGCAGGAGACAGACTAATAGAGCGGTGACTCGAGACTTTGTTAATTGGTTTGCCTTTCTTGGGGATGGGGAATATTTTTTATTTTTTCCAATTATCTAGATAGAATCTATTATTAAGACAGTGGTTGAAGAGGATAATGTAGCTGTTTATGACGTTGTTGGGCAGATGTTTGAGAACTAAACCGGCTGAGGTTTTGTTGGGAAGTGAACAAAAAATATGTGCAGTAGCATAAGTGCTGTGGAAGGTGATACTATTTTCAATGGAGTGCGGGTTGTGGGCTGGATTGTCTGAAGTAAATGAGCAAATGGAGAGGTTATTGCGTATGTTGTTTTGGAAAGAATCGATCATTAACTCTACTGCTGAGTCTATCTCTACTTTTAAGGGCATATTAGTATTGGTGAATCTAGGGGAATTTATCTTTTCGTAATAAGCACTGATAATGTTTAAGATATCGCCAGGGGATTCAATAAGATAAGAGACAGCTACTTTAGGAAGCACATCAGCGTTGATGTTATAACGATTGAGTAGGTTGAGTTCACTAGGACCGATTTCTAAATGGTCTATTTTTATATCACTCCTTAGATAAAAGAATCGGTTAATCATTGGAAAAAAGGATTCTGATTTACGATGGTGAATGGCTTTAAGCTGACATTCCCAATATTTATTGTAAGTAGATTGTTATTCAGTTTTGAGTTTTACATTAGTGTCACAGATAAGGTCACGGAGGAGGGGAGGGTCTTGAGGTAATTTGTAACGGAGCGCGTGATTGAGTGAAGTTATAAGATATGACTTTTACTTGTGTAATTGTTTTATTCTATGATTAACGTAGTTGAATACGAGTACGTTATCCTCAGGTTTTTATCTGGGAAAGTATTTCCCAATTGCTTCTTGGATGATAGTTTCGATTTCAGTTAGATAATTACAAATTTCTTCATTATTTAAGTTACGATCGATGGGAATGTTAATATTGTAGTTAGCCTCCAGTTTTTTTTGTTGTGAATTTTACCCATTTAGTCTTTTTGTACATGAATCGGAAAGAGAGTCATGAAGCAATACATTCAATCAGAAAGTCTAGAGCTACTGTGAAGCAGAGGGCTTTATAATCGAGAGTGAGCAACTTGTTATTGAATAGGTCAAGAAAAGGTTTTCACAAATACAGAGGTCTAGAAATGTGTTGGATTTGGTGAATGTAGCATTAGATGGGGGGAAAATTTTAACTTTAAAAGTGTTGCCGTCGTTAATTTCCCAATTTTTTTGTAAGATGCCCTTTTTTTGGTGACAGTATCTCCCCATTCAGTATGTCTCGCGTTGAAATCACCTGCTATTATATAAAAATTTCTGGGGTTAGCTAAGTTTAAGCTATTACAGAGAAAGTTGAGTTCATAATCAAAGATCTTTTGGGCTTTATTGTTGGCATATCCGGCAATGATGAATAATTTATTGGGGGATAAGTCGATCTGAATAATAGTATGTTCGAGGATGGAATTATTTTTGGAGGAAGGTGAATGAATTTTTTAAAATGGAATAGTGCGTTTGATGAGAATTGCGGTACCGCCGCCTCGAGCGCTATTAGGCCTATCAGATCTAATGAGTTTATAATCGGAAAATTGGGGTTTATATTTGGAATTGAGTTTGGTTTTACAGAGTAAAGCAATATCTATTTGGTAATTTTGAACGAAATTTAACAGATCATATCTTCTATTGAGTACTATAATGGAGTTTACGTTAATGGATGCAATTTTGAAAGTAGTGAGAGAGCAGACACCTTTTCGACTATCTGAGGGGGTGGTGCGGTTATTAGTCGAACCCTCCATCATAA